GACACAAGATAAAGACAATAATTCTACCTCAACACAACGGGCTTTTGAAAATATTAGGGTTCCCAGAGACTTAGGGGGGGGGGGGGGGTGGATGCCAGAACAAGGGGAAGTGTCACCTCAGATTTTTTTTCTAATCAGAATGACTATGTTTTTAGAAAATTAGAAACTAGAACTTTTTTTCCAATACTGTCCGACAATCCCTAAAAACGCATAACGTACAATAAGTTGTTGGTTTTAGATATTTTTAACCCATTCACTTATGATTTTTTTTTACCCGCCTAGGCCAAAACAAACGAATTTGTTGTGGCTAGTTTCATTCATTTCTGATTTAATTTTTTTTCAGGCAACATTTACTATTTATATGCAAGATATTATTATTTTCTTATTCAAAATTAAATGTAGATTCAAAATATATAAATATTTCCCAAAAAAATATAACTATAATTTTTTATTATACCATATAAAAATAAAATAAAAAAATAAAAAAATAAAAAAAAACTTTTTTATTGGTAATTTTTAGCTACATAGGGCTCATATATGTTTTGGAACTAGTCTATAATACTGTATGACACTTATAAAAACTCACCAAATGTCAAGCAAAGTTCATTTTGGTGTGGTATGCCTTGAAACACTCTGGCATGTGAAGTGCGACAAGGCAGAGCTCACACTCCCATCGGCTGTCACTGCGCTTTCCCTGGGCACTGCACACCTTACATCTTCTTGAAGGTGTTTGTTTGACTTCATTTGGAGGAATGGGCCTAGGAAAATGTCCCCAAGTTGCTGCCTGGAGCCTCAGAGGTGTTTCTGAGTTGGATGATCGTCCTCTTCGATTGTACGGTGGCAGTTGTCGCGACTCAAACATTTGCTTGACAAACCTCTCCTTGAACTCACTGAACCCCAATTTTTTTCTGGTTAATTTTTTGAACACTACATAAGAGTTAAAAAGGCCAATGTCCATTATGTAAAAGAAGATCTTCTTGTATCCCTTAGCATACCTCCTCATACTAGGAAACGACGCTAATTGCTGATCCTCGCGGTCAATTCCACCCATTGAACGATTATAGTAGATCACTGGTTCTGGCTTTGTTATAATTTCTTGGGTAACTCTGTCTTTCTTGCCAGTTGATCTTTTGTCAGCTTTTTGATGAAAGGTAGACAAAATGCAAACTTGCTTCTTGTCCTGCCACCTTACTGCTAACATATCGTGGCTATAGGCTGTCTCGTAGTCGCCCAACTTAAGTTTACCCTCTTTGAAGCTCTCTGGCATGTTTGATCTCCACCAGTTAGCTGTTCCAATTACATTGAAACCTATTTGCTTAAGTCTATAGAAGAGAAGAGGTGAGGAGTACCAATTATCAATTGTCAGAGTATGTCCTTTTCCTGCCAAATCTTTTGTCATTTCAACGACTATCGCCTCACTCGTTAACAGCTTTTCCTCCTGTGTAGAATCCCCACTTCCTTCTTCAACCGGTACATTTTCTTTGACTTCAGCTCCAGTATAGATCTTAAATTTAGAACAATAACCACTTCCAGATTCACAACACTTGTAAAACTTTATGCCAAATCTGGCTCTCTTCTTGGGATTAAATTGGACATAGCCCAACCTCCCTCGGAACTTCATAAGACTCTCATCGACAGCTATGTTTTCATCAGGTATGTACAGATGGGAAAACTTCCTGTTCATGTACTCAATAACGTACCTTAACTTCCACAGTTTATCATTCACAGGTTTCCTATTATTGTCTGTAAGGTGGAAAAATGTGGACAGTAGCAAAAAACGGCGGAATGGCATCACTTTACGAAAAAAAGGGGTCTCAGTTACAGCATTAGGCGACCAGTATGATTGTATGGTTCTTTTTTTTACAAGCGACATAAGGACACACAGTGTATAAAAACAAGCCATCTCATCTGCAGTTGTGTCAAACCATTCTGAGTATATAGTTTTTCCTACCCCGCCTGCTTCGTTCTTTTTCTTAATTGTTTCTTTGGCATAATTATTAGTCTCTGTTGCAACATGTTGCCAAAAGTCATTATCAAGAAACGCATTGAAAACATCTAATTCAGAGGGAGCTGAGCCTAAACTTCTAGCCAAACTTGCTCTAACACCAGGACAACCAGTAAAAGGGATTTTATTTATTATATTACTTTCTATGGTACTGGTCCACTGCCAACCCTCCTTTTTCTTCTTTTTTGGTGGAGCTGTATCGTTACTAGTTTGAGTTTTGGACCTTTTAGTAGGCTTAGATGGTTGTGAAATAGCTTTTTTTCCTATAGGCCTACCTCTTCCTCTAGACCTGCCCCTAACAGGTTTACTTTTAGGCCTAGGGTCAGGAAAGCTAGGGTCGTCAGCTTCCTCACTCGGTGTAGGTGAGAGGGCAGGCACGATTGAAGATGCAAGCTGGTCAAATAATTCAGGCCTAATAGGCAAATCTAAATCAGATTGGACATTTGGAGGGGTCATAGGCCTATGCCTGCCACTATCTATATCATTTATAGGCCTAGAGTCAGGGAAACCAGGGTCGTCAGCTTCCTCACTCGGTGTAGGCGAGAGAGAAGGCGCGCTCATACTACCGCGGTATAACCGATCAAGAAACTGGACTGATTTAGGCAATTCTTCATCACGTGATGGAGAAGATACATGCTGATCAAATATTTCAGGCCTACTAGACAAATCTGAATTATATTGGACAGTAAGGGCATCTGGAGGGGTCATAGGCCTAGCATAGCTGCAAGAAGGCTGTTCAAGCAACAACTGGTCACTTTCTAATGGCCTAGGCCTAACACAATTAGTATTATGTTCTGGGGAAACTGTGGTCTCATAATCAATAGGCGTATTAGACTTATTACTCACTTGAATTCTGCTCCCTTCCAAATCATCATCATCACTCCAACCACTCTCCTCAAACAAGTCACAATCACTGTCACTGTCACAATCCCCTATAAGTTTTATGATGTCACTTTCATCTAACTCTTTTCCACATTCATCCACGAATACCAAGTTATTTTGAAGACTCATCGTATTATACAAAAGCTTTTCAATTGAATAATATAGTAAAACAAGATACTGTAGCTCAATCTTTATCACGACGAAGTGAAACACGACATGATAGGCCTAATAACTCAGTCATTATAACGACGAAAAAGTAAAATACTGATAAAAACTTACACTAAGTAAATTCTATAACTTATTTTATAAGATAACTACACTTTTCAATAAAATAATAAAGTAAAACAAGGCTCTAACACAATGTTTACATCGTCGAAGTAAACACAACAACGTATCAGCTGTGAAACCAGAGTAGACGTCGTCAGCTGCTAAGTTGCACCATTTCAACTTCAGTTTTTTTGCCGATTGGACTGGACTGAGATGACGAAAATATAACCAAAAGAAAGCCTGGAAATCATAGAACAAGAAGCATATGCGATCTATTGGATTTCTGGGGAACTAACTCGGCACAAACAGGTTTTAATAGCGGACGGCGATTCGCCGTCGCTTCACACAATGGCTAACGGGAGCGCGACGGCGGATCGCCGTCGTTGTAAGCGAAGGGGTTAATAGTGATAGGCAGGTCCATGAAAATGTCAGTTGCGTGATCGTCATTGTCTGTGATAGCAGTAAAATCATGATCATCTCCGGTGGCCGTGAAGACATCATCATCGTCTTCCACGGTAACAGAAACGTCATAGCAACGTCCATATAGCAAGAATAATAGTGGGCCTAAAATTGATTACTGCGGAACCCCAAGATTTAATTTGAGCCATTCTGGTGTAAACTTTGAATTGTCTTTCATAATAATTGTCCTCTGGTACCTGTCTCATAGGGATGTGCGATGCATTGAAATTCCGATTCGATTTGATGCATTGAATCGCAATTCGATTCAGTAGTGGTCAAAAAACGATTACATTCATAAGGGAACCAGTGTCCATATACGAAAAACGCCTGCAGAAACTCAATGCAATACCCGCAATACAGGAGCGCGTTGTTGCATTTCCTTTGCAAAGGGGTTCTTATTTAATTAATTATTTGCATGTAAATATTGCTTTGTTTTATTATTGTTTGTTTTGACACTGCAAATTATGAGAAATTTTGTTAAGTGTAAGCAGTGTGAAACATATTTTACTACTGTAAACATAACCAAAACAAGTCACTCCAAAATCATTCTAAAAATATTACTAGTCTTGAAAAAATTTACTTGATACCTAACTGGTAATACTGATGTTTTAGACTGAAAAATTTGGTATTTTTATAGGTCTGAAGCTGTATACCTTGTGATTTCTAGGTCTGATTCTATGCTCTCATTTTATCAATGTAAATCAATTGAAAGTTTCAGTATAAATCTAACAAATGTTTTAATTTGTTTACACCAAAACATATCTTTATTTGTAAAATCAATATTATAAAATAATAGGTAACATGTTTAACAATATGATTCTGCAAGTAAAAATTATGAAATAGGCAAGTAAAGCAGCTCACTGAGATTTCCAGCAATATCTAATATATAATTGAAAATAAATATTTGTTCACTTAAAATTCATATACGTCATATACATGAATGGGCCTAATACCACATCAACAAAAATTTTCGTTACACAAATGTAGTATTAACAAGAACAAGTATGAATAGAAAAATGCCATATTGCTTCGAATCGAGAGGCATCTACTCAAATCTAAAATCTTTTTAATCGAATCGTTGCTACGAATTAAAAATCTTTTGCTCCTTCGCACACCCCTACTAGGAATTAACCCAAAACAAGGCCAAATAAGAAAATTTATAGGCTAATATTTTAGTTCAATTATTAAAGTTAGGTAATCAACACAATCAAAGACCTTACTGTAGATACATCACTATCACAGCTGCTGTTCTCTGCAATGCATCCAAGCCATCCGAGACCTAATTTATGAATTCAATTACCGATGATGTTGTAGCCTACTTTTACCACATCTAAAACCTCACGCCTATAACCTACTGTTAGATATACATTTTGATATTTGTACTCACCATTCTGCCCTTGAGGTGGCTCTCAAACTTGAGTCCCCGGTGGTGAGATCCGCGCGAGTCTATGGCGATGACACAGTAGCCCTGGGCTGCCAACATGTGCATTCTCAAATGCCTCATACCCTTGAATGTGTTTGACACTAGCTGTACTTCTGGGCCTCCATACACATTCAGTAGAACCTACAAAGATTGTATCAAATCATGTCAACTCTGTACAGTTTAGCTTATTAACTAAATAACTTCTTTATCAGCAATAAAGCATTGATCATTATCAGCATTGATTTGCCTATTATTGGGTCTGATGATGATTGCAGTGTCCAATCAAAATCGATCACCACTTACCATTTTTTATATGTATTTACCGTCTTAAGAGCAAACAGTATATGTGTAAATCATCGGCGATCTGACCATGTTGTTTGAGTTTGAAGGTGTAGAGGAAAATCATCATTTTATTATATATTATCGGTTTTTATATACAATACTACTTTATATAGTTTTACTTTAAGTACTAAGCTTTGAAATTAATATTAGATTAGACTAGCTGTGTGTCCGTTCTACGCACGGGTATCCTATAGTAGTCAGTTGAAACCTTGTTATATTAAGAACAACTGTTGGTTTGCTTATTTTCAGATAAGCTGGCAAAGCTATTATATATAAACCTTTGCAAATACAGTATGTGACAGTTTCAAGCCAAAACATATGCTTTGGAATCCAATGATTAAACTAAAAAAATGCTTTATAGATCTATGATTCATAGCTGTAAGGTAGGCCTATAATTAGGGGTGTGCGAATAGTGATTTTCAACCTCGAGCCGAGCCGAGCCGAGCTTTTTTAAAAAATGTTCGAGCTCGAGCTTTTTCGAGCCGAGCTTTTCCTAGCGTAACCTTATCTTAATTATTAAACTTTTTTTCTTAAAAAAGTGCATAATAATAATAATGTTCAGTCAATTTTTAAACAAACACAATGTTATTTTAATATGTTTAAAAACATTGAGAATTGTCAAGACATAAAATAGTAGATAATCACGATAAGAACTGAACTGAACTAAATGAAGATGCAAGAAATAAAAGGATATCGATTAAAGGCCTGAAGAGATATGCAGTGCAGACTGAGACAAAGACAATCAGATTGTCTTTCAAAACAGAACAGCAACGCGACCTTGAATGACGACAAAACAACTAGCAAGTCGATTACATATGTATATTGTAACTAGGCTACTATGAATATTTAATTCTATTTTGTATAAATAAATACAAAATAAATTTAAAAACACGTGATTATTCTTGTTGTTTTCCATGCACAAAATATTTTTGTTTTATGAATCCTATTAATCAAAAAAGAACATGGTTGGTTTGGATCCAAAAAGGTGGAGAGACAAGTTTTACTTATATATTAAAAAATATATAATTGACATATAGAGGAAATAGACCAAAGCACTAGAATTAATAGAATAACACACAAAGTAAACAAGAAATGAAATGCAGAACACGATGATTTAACACTGTCACTCAATTATGTTATCTAGAAGGGTCGGCGAACTAATCAATAAATAGCCAAAACCAGTTTCCTCCCCTTCACACAGTCTCACCGCCCCCCTACCCCCCAATCCGGGTGGCCCAACACTTTGTCCTTGAAACACCCTTGCGTCTGAAACAATAAACCCTTACACCCTCGTTGCTGTTTTGACAACAGGTTTATGAATGCGATCACTATTTTTCATTTCCAGAATTAACTATCAATTATTATTTATTTGCAAGATACAAATAGGAAACTACATCACATTATGGTATTCAATGACCCATGTACTATCAAAAATTAATAACTCATTACTTATTTTGATAATAAAAAGCATTCATTACAGCACGCGCCACTTATTGATATATATATATATACTAGCTGACCCGGCGAACTTCGTATCGCCTAAGTTATAGGTTTCCCCTAAGACAGACCGATGGAAAGAAAGTACCGTTACGTTTAATTTTCAAGATGATCTCGTTCGCATCGCTCAATCACGTCCTGGTTGAAGTTCGTTCGCTACGCTCACTCACCTTTGGGTTGGAGCTCGTTCGCTGCGCTCACTTGCCTTTAGGTTGGAGCTCGTTCGCTACGCTAACTCGCCTCCAGGTTAGCTCGTTCGCTACGCTCACTCGCCTCCAGGTTGAAGTTCGTTCGCTACGCTCACTCACCTTTTGGTTGCAAATTAGCTGTTGTCATAAATGTAAAAGAAATAATAGTGCTGCACCCTGTTGGTAATCCTTGTAACTTTAATGCTATTGAACATCATAGAACAGAACCAACTTGTTTAATTGAAACAGCTGTTAAGATTCATTAATTCCATTTCTCATAAGGTTAACATGGGAAACTCCAGAGCCACTGGGGCGGGGCCCTTTTAAGAATTTCGAAACGGAAAATAGTTTACGTCCGATTCGCATACCTACAGAATTTACACACCAAATTTCATTACGATCGGTGAAGTCGTTCCGGAGGAGTTTGCAGACAAACACTGTGACACGAGAATTTTATATATTAGATAATCCTCAAAGTAACTGTTACTTTATAAAAAATAAAATAGGTACAAAATTGTGTGGCCAGTCAAACTTTATAGGCCTAAACAAACATTTTATTCTATAAAATACAGATGGTAAATAGGGGTTGGTTTAAAGGAAATAAAATACAAAACATATTAATTAATTATTTTGATAAACATTAGAAAGGTTATGGGATTGATTGAACTAAAATAACCGCAGGGAAACTTATAAGTAGAAAAGTCGTCAAACACAATCTGTTTAGTCAGTACATTGTTAGAGAGAGAGAGAAAGAGAGATAGCAGATAAGGAAGTTTGATGATAAGGAGTTTGATAAGGAATCTGAAAAAGTAAACAAACAAGGAACAACGACACGACGATTACAGCCTTATTGTCTCGCCCACTACATTTGCACACGTGACCACTTTTTGTTTCTTCCTTATCTTTCATCCGTCCCAAAATAGAATTCCTGAAATGGTTTGTTGGTATAATCTCCCCTCCCACACAAGGCGCAGTGCTCAGTGCGCACTGTAGGTTGCCACGGCAACCGTGTGTCGTCATAGCGACTTAGCCAATCACGCACTCGCATTGCGTTGCATATTACGATACGAATAGTTGTGTTAGAAAGACAACGCGATAGGTGGTAGTTTCCTCAAAATTACGATCGATAATCATTGCATCTTGACTGAGCTGAGGTTCGTGCTTATCAAGACACAATTATGAAACGGAGGAGAGTAAATTTAAATGAAAGTTAGTTCCTTATTTATTAATTTAATTTTTATTTGCTACAGTAGTTCAATAAGTATTCGGCTCGAACATTTCGAACTTTTTGAAAATCACGAGCCGAGCCGAATAGCGTCCTATTCGGCTCGAAAAAGCTCGATGTTCGAATACTCGCACATCCCTACCTATAATTGAAAGTTACTTTCCACAATGGTTAAAATTAGTTAAAATACTACCTCAACCTCACCATAAAACACTTTATTCCAGTTGACATTTTCATTATCAAAGATGCTCTTTAGTGATGGAGGAGACTAGAGTTTTCACTTCGAGATGAGACGAGATAAGATTTTCTTAATTCCGGCGGGACGGGATTTTTTTCAAAACGAGATTGAATGAAAAGTTATAAAAAAATTTATATCTACTTTTTATGTTCAGAAATATCTACAAGTTTTTGAAAACTCGACAAAAAATAGACAAAAATATTTAAAATCTTTTATTAAAAACATTAATAAAAACATCAGTATATAAAAAAATATTAATAAGGCCTAACTTATTAAAAATAACTCTTCGGCATAGGAAACATGGAAATATCAGTTAGTATATAGTTCAACTTTGAAAAATATCAAAAACAACAGTATTACTAGTTAAGTATCAAGTAACAATTTTTAAGTCTTGTGTTATTTTTAGAATGATTTTGAAGTAACTTATTTTGGCTATGTTTACAGTAGTAAAACATGTCTCACACTGCTTACACTAACAAAACTTCTCATCATTTACATCTTCTCAAAAATTATAGCACAACTGGAGCAATATTTCCATGTAAAGAATAAATAATTAAATATAAACGCCTACGCAAAGTTTTTTTTTTTTTTATTTTAAATTTTTTTAATATAATTATGAAATAAAACGTGTTGAATATTATCACCGATCAGATTTCCACCGTTTTGTGTTAGGTGTGAAATATTCCAGGAACAGCTGATATTAATTAATTTACAATAGATCTTATGACTTGAATGGTAAAACTTAAAACAAAATGAGTCTAATATGGCACACAACTGGGTTTTTGAGTGTTCGTTATTTTATTACCAATGGACGTAGACACGTTTCAAGTAATTAAAAACCTTCTCATGCATAGGAATACATGGAAATAGTTTCATCATAATCTGTTTCGTCGTTTTCCCGGAGAAGAGAGCGTAAAATGCCATCTTGAGTGTTACAGACAGACAGACAGAAATTAAGATAACACGCGTTTCGGCTTTCATTAGTATGAATAACAAAATAAACAAAACATTTATGATTCTGCGCAATGTACAGACAAAAATCTAATTTTATTCATATAGATAAGAATAACATGGGAATTTTAATTTTAAAGTTTTTTAATCATCTCCGTAACCATTAGGCATACAACAACGCTTCAATAAACAAAATTATAGAGATGGGCCGATACCAAAAATTGTCGATACCAATACCGATACCACCAAAGTACTCTCGATACCTATTGATACCGATACTTTAGATACCTATCTTTTTTGCACAGTTTCTTCCACTAATAATATTATAAACTGTTATACCATAAAAAACACAATATGTATGTGTATCAAACTTATATTTTGGTGTTAAAGGTTTATTATTAATTGCAAAAAACAATTGCAAAAATATGGAACTAAGTGTTTATTTTAAAATAGGCCTACTGTTAATGTTTGAATTTGACTAAAGCATGAGATTTCATAAAGTTTCCTCTAATTTATAAATAGGCTTATATAAGTATTTATCTATCATTTGTCAGTTTTTGTATTTATTTGAAATTGCATCAATTGTCTTAGTTAACTCATTAAGCTATAAATTTAAAAAAGATTATGTACATCTTGGCCTGCAAATACTCTGTAAGTTTTTTTTTCCCTCTAAGAGAGTAAAAACGAACTTCCTATATAATGAGAGTTTCTCACTAGTTGTATGAAAAACAGTTCTCTATATCTTTAAAATTTGTTTAACTATGAAAAAGTCACCAAGTCTAGCTGAAAACACATTCATAAATGAGAATATTTTTGAAATACAGAATAACTAATCAAACAACCTTTTTATTTTTAACACTGTTATTTCTTAACTTTTTTTCCTTGAAAATGTCAACAGTTTTTCATTTATTTTTAGTAAAGATTATCACTTATAATTTCTCGAAAGAAATCTACGTGTGAGCTATGAAAAGCAGACAAGAGACATACGTCACTGCCACAAAAACTATTCTCTACTGTGAATGAATGAACTGAGTGTTTATTTAGTGTGAAGCCCCGCCCACCGTCTAATGGGACATGGGGTAGGAAAAGAGAAAGTTTGCTCTAAAGCCTGGTTCACATGCCCTCCCTCACCCTCGGCCTTTGTCGCTTGCAGATTTCCATTACACAAAAGTTTCTGAGTGTTAATTATTTTAAAACACTGTAAATGTTTGAATTTGACTATGATGAGATCTAATAAAGTTTCCTCTAAATTATAAATAGGCTTATAAGTATTAATCTAAATCATTTGAAAGTTTTTGTATTTATTTTTAAAAGCTACATACATCTTGGCCTATAAATACTTTTTGTAAGGAGAGTCTTTTCTCTAGTGAGTAAAAACGATCGTGGTCAAGGAATGACTGTGCTAAAACAGCACATTGTCAATTTTTACAAAAGTATTTTGACTGAAACCTGGTATTTTTTAAAGACATTGTAGAATAAGTCGACGTCTGTGGAGAAAAGTATGGCAATTAGAGGTTTTACTTTTAGCCTACAATAAATATTATGTTTTGGGACTAGAATCTCCAAAAGAGTGCTTTTATAAAACATGCCATAGTTTTATTTAGTAACAAAAGTGTTTGACTATGTTCCCGATGATACCAAGAGTATAGGTTCGGCAGAGTGGATTCACTGTGAACCGGCCTGCCTGGCCCTTATGCACGACGTCACTATAACCTCCGTGTAGGGATGTCAACAATGGATCGGAACAATCGATGTTTTGAATCTGTCTGTAACCCAGTTTTTATACTTTAATACTCATTATTTATAAACGAACACGTCCTACATATCGGATCTCGAATCACGATATTTATCCATACCCTTCCCACCCACTATAAGCACATAAAACGATGTCTAAGCAATTGTCATTTGCTCCATTGAAACACGAAAGTCGATTGGCTGACATGGTAGTGCATTGTCGCCTCCTGACCAATGAGAACTGTTGTTACATACTTTTATTGTCAACAATCACCATTCGTTATAACATTACAAAATCGACATGGACTAAGGCTTATGATATTTTTCAATAAATACATTATGTTATAGTAGCACTTAAAACTTCACTAAACTCTTCACTAAACTATCATAAGAGTCGAGTCTCGGCATGCGATCAGAACTGTACTATGTTGTGACGACCGTTTACCATAAATTAGTTAGTAGGCCTACTTAAATGTATTTTTGTCCATATTGTTTTGTTCGTGTGTGTCGTAAAAACTATGACGTGACCCTTATGGTTTAAAAAAGTTTTTGTAGATTTGACAATGACGCATTGACGTCGAAACGTACGTAATCCTAGATTTTGGACTACATGGATCACTTGGTGATTAAGGTAATGTAACCTCATATATATATTATCTACAGTTAAAACACAGAAACTAATCTACAATTACAGCACGCCTCTTAGAACAACCCTACTATAACAAAATCAACAATACTTTAACACACTAACGGTACATGTTTTTAGAACGGCTAGGAGCGCAATCCACGAGACGTTGTTCTGACGACGATCGGATCAAGACTGGCTCGTCTCCTACCCCCACCATGATCTACTCTCCTCAGACCAGTTCCCGCTGAGATTCTCAGGCTTCACCTCGTTCCGCATGACCTTTAATAGCGGCCAAACCAGAAAAGGAGGACACTATGAGTGACCCTGCTAAGCTATAAGCCCGTCGCATCGTATATATATTACAAATTGTCACGTTACGGATCTTGTGGCCACAAGTAGTTTGCCTTGTGACCACTAAGGGTTAATTTAATGTTTCAATGATTTTTCTAAAGATCAGCCTTTTTAATGGAAGCAGGTTTTTATTTATATTAAACGTTGTTATAGTTAGTAGGGTCTTTTTACAGTATTATCTTTTCAGAGACCAATAGGTATAACAATGTTAACTACATACAATAGTGGCTTATGAACACCTCGTTATTAATTATATGAGATAAATTTTACGTTAAACCAAAATGCCAACTAACCGTCATACTACTTGTATTTTAATTAACCAAAAGAAGTCCATGTTATGGTATTTACAGGATACTTGCGCCCATGTTGGAAGCCATGAGGCCGGAACAGCATCGCATAAAGTATCTCTCCAGACTGCATCTTGTGAGTGAAGAGCTCAGGTGCATGTATCTCCACCTCAGGCACTACAACAGCAAGGTATGTTACCAACATTAAGTAAGGATTCAATTACTATTTTACTTTCACAAAGATGTTGGAGGTTTCTTTTGACCTTGAATTTGCCAGTCCACATGGGCGTTGTATGGCTTTATAGAATATTCAAAAGTTTGATGAATGAGAAGCCCATTACTTATGTTGATAATGAGGCAGCTGTTCGCTTATCGAAAAATCCTGGGTTCTATAAAAGAACAAAGCACATTGAACACATCTCCGCCCGGAGCTGAAAACTTCGAGCTTCAGTGTAGCAAGACAAGTCACCAGCAGTGTGAAGTGCAAAAGCAGAGCATAGTGTCATGTGAAGTTATAAGATCACCAAATGTGAATCCCTCTACACCACAACACATTACACTCAACCGACATTCTACCCCAACTACCCAAAGTGTTCTTAGAGATAATAGCATAATACAGTATGTAAATAATGAAGATCATGTAACTACCAAAAGTAGTTTTTTAGAAGCACAAACATGGCCCTGGTTGCCAATAAAGTAATTAAGCCTTTAAAACAAATTCCATTTAACAGTACAAAATTAAAAACTAACATTTTAAATATATTTCATCAAAACATCCAACATCTCCAATCTAAAATTGACTCTTTAATAATAACAATTGAGGAAATAAAACCGGAAGTAATTATATTAACTGAGCACAAATTAAAAATGCATGAAATTGAAAAATTGAAAATACCGGGTTATATAGTAGCTAGTTGTTATGCCAGAACAGATTACAATGGTGGAGGGGTAATTATTCTTTTATCAGAAAAAATTTCATTTAAAAATTTAAATTGCCAATCCGTTAAAAACATTAATCTAGATAAAATATTTGAGTCTTCATTAATTGAAATAAAAACAGGGAAGGAAAAACTAATAATTGCTGGGGTATATAGAACACCATCAGAAAATATTGATGACTTTCTACAGAAATTAAACCTGTTATTGGATATGATGGACAGAAAAAAGACAAACTTTGTAATGGGTGGGGACTTTAATATTGATGTTTTAAAAGAGGGTAAAAAGAAAAGTGATTTTATGAATATTTTAAAAATGCATGGTCTTTATTATACAATTAATATTCCCACTAGAACTACTCAAAAATGTGAATCAGCAATAGATAATTTTGTAACTAACATAAATAGTAAAAGTTACGGAGTAGAATGCTTTATAACTGGGCTGTCAGATCATGATGGGCAACTGTTTAAGTTAATAGTAACTAAGGGTAGCAATGATAAGAAGTGTAAAATAAATTTGGAGAGTAGAAAGTTCAGCCAGGATAGTATAAACATGTTTATTAAAGATCTAGCTAATGAAGATTGGACCCAGCTGTACACTAGACCAGTGGATGAAAAATTTACCTATTTTTACGATATTCTGAAATATTATTTCAATTTGCATTTTCCAAAAGCCAAAACAGTAAAACATAATAATCACAACCAATGGATTGATGATGAAGTCATTTTTAAGAGAAGAAACATAATTGATCAGTACCATGTGTATAGAAACAACAAAAGTAATATAGTATTAAAAAACCTTATTAAAGAACAAAAGAAGCAGTATAACCTAATGATTCAAACAAAGAAAAAAAATATGTTTAGTAATAAAATTAAAAATTCTGCTAATGTTAACAAAACGGTATGGAGAATGGTGAACAAGGAAATACGAAGTAAAAGAGAAAAGCAATTTTCTAATATTGTTCTAAAGCACAATGGAATTAAAATTAAAAACCCTGATATTGTTTCAAATGTTTTAAATTATTACTTTACTGATGTGGTCGAAAATCAGGTCATACTCAAAATTAACCTTAATAAAAACGTGTTACCAGTTAGTATAAACGCTTACTTTACAGAAACAAGATTCAATTGCAAAACCATTGACGAGAAAATTCTAAATAATATGATTGATTCTCTGAAACCAAAGTGGTCATCCGGATATGACGAAATTCCAACTAAAATTCTAAAAGAAGCCAAATCAGTTCTATTAAAGCCATTGGTTCACGTTATAAACTCTTCCCTTATACAGTAGACCCCCTCTTAACCGACCCTAATGGGACCGGACCTACGTCGGATAACTCAAAAGGACGGTTAAAACGGGCAATCCCTAAAATCATAACTTAATGAAATGCTATTCATTTGGAATTATATAATCAATATTTTGAAGTCATACTAGCATTATTTATAAAATAAACTACTCTTATCTCCTTTTTCGTATTGATAGAAAAGTCACAAATAAACACCAAACACGGTTAAGTCTAATAGGCCTACTTTCAGTGGAATATATTATAATACTAGGCAACAGTCAATAAAATTCCTATTTTAATAACTTTAGTACTGTAGTGTATTAATTTATGCTTTCCAAATCCATCGTAATACAGTACAGAACCTTTTTTCGAAATTAAAGATACGAAAGCAACAATTTTGTTACAAGGGACAGGATGTTTATTTATAACCTCTCACTGTAGGCTCGAGTGAGGTACAAAAACTATCTTGACCTTGGAGTTGTTAGCCCCCCTTCCCTGCCCTCCCTACAAGTTGCGTAGTTTGTTTACTCCAGCGATAAGATAATCAGTTCTCAAAATCGTAACGCACTTTATGATGTTATAAATTTGCCGCACAGATAACATATCAGATCAGATGTGATAATGACAAACTGACAATAGGCTATGCTATATTTTTTGTGATCGATACAAACAAAATAACTTATTCTTAGTCATATCCTGTGGAGATAAGCGTATGGTTCAGTTCTCATCGCCCAGCGTGGGAGCGGAAATGCCGAGATTCCTAGAAAGTGGCGGTTAAACCGAACTACTCTCAAAGCAAGGTCGGTTAAAACAAACTGTATTATTTCACGATCGAAGGCGGATAAGCCGATTATCGGTTAATACGAGGTCGGTTAAGAGGGGGTCTACTGTAACTGGTGTTTACCCGGCACAGCTAAAAATTTCCAAGATAATTCCTGTTCATAAAAAGGGGACACTTGAGGAGGTTTCTAATTATAGACCATTAGCAATACAACCATCACTTTCCAAACTCTTTGAGAAAGGTATACTGTACCAATTAATAGATTATTATGAAAAAAACAATATGTTAGACTCAGAACAACACGGCTACAGAAAAGACAAGTCCACCACATCAGCATTGATATCTTTTATTGAACATATTTTAGATAATTTAGATAAAGACAATTGTGTTGTTGGTGCTTTTTTAGATATGACTAAAGCTTTTGATAGTGTTCACCATCCCACATTAATCAATAGGCTTGAAAGTAATGGTATTTCTGGTAAAGAGTTAAACTGGATTAAGTCATACTTAGAAGGGAGGAAACAGTATGTTAACATTAAATTTGTAGACAACAAAAATGAATATGATGTTAAATCTAAGTTAAGACAGGTTAAATACTCGGTCCCTCAAGGATCTGTTTTAGGGCCGTTCTTATTCTTGTGTTATCTGGGAGGTATGCAGGAACTTTTGACAAATAAAATTGATAATATTACTAATATTAGACTATGTCTGTATGCAGATGACATTAGCATGCCAATTCATGACAAAGACAAAACTGAAGCAGAACAAAAAATGAAAGAGGCCATAACAGTAGTAAACACTTTCCTAAATGAAAGAAATCTTTTATTAAATAGAAGTAAAACATCATTGGTGAAATTTTCTTGCACAAACTTAAAAAACAAAGCCAATTTTGATAATTTTGAAGAAAAAACAAAGTTTTTGGGACTTACAGTTGATAATACATTAAACTGGTCCAAACATGTTGATAATGTTTGTAGGAAAATAAGCTCTGGAATTTTCATTATCAATAGACTTCGCCCGTTTTGTAATGAGCAAACACTGAAGACTATGCTCATATCCATTCACATTTATCATATGGATTAGAAATTTATGGTGGTACAAGCGACTATAACTTAAAAAGAATATTATGCTTACAGAAGGAGGCTATTAGATGCATGCTAAATTTAGAAAGGGATGCCTCTTGTAAAAACTATTTTAAAGATTTAGGGTTTCTAACAGTTTATAGTTTATACATTTACAAAACAATACTTTATGTGAAAAAAATGAATCAAAATTACAGCGACAACAGGGGATTCATGAGCATGACACAAGGAACAAACAAAATTTTACAGTTAAAAAGCATAAAAAAGAAAAATTTAAACAAAGACCAGATTATATTGGCATCAAATTTATCAACCACCTCCCAGAAAGCATTAGGAGAGAGCTGAGTATGAATACGTTTAAAAGAAAATTGAAAACATTTCTAATAATTATTCTATTTATTTAAAGAGGATTTTTTTAAACTATGAGTAATTTATTTTAATTTGTTAACATTATGTGTGTATAACAATGTAACAACAATGTAACAATGACGCATTCATGTGCAGTTATGTACGTTCTGAATAAAGATTTGATTGATTGATTGATTGATTGAAGTGAGACATTTTTTGTTCGAGAGAAAGTACTAGATGGAACTATAAATGTTTGTCACACAACTTGTTGGTCGTCACAAGGGTGTCGTCGGGGAATCAACTAGCTGACAAACTGACCAACCTGGACGTTTTAAAATTCTGTGTCATAAGATTGGTATGTGTTTGTGGTTTTCTTTGTTAAAACCAGAGTTTTTATGCTTAGTTAAAGAGAAGTAGTTTATAAAGACAGTTATAGCAAACTGACCTGATGGTTCCAGTATGTACCCGATGGGAGTAAGATTGACCCCGTCAACCGTCCAGTCAGTGTGTGTTATCCTGAATACTTGAGAAGCCGGTAGCTTCTGTATGTTGCTGTACACCACAACACACAGGTTGCATTCCTGGACAAAGGTAAAAGTATATCAATCTCAACTGTTGATGTTACAACCTGTTAAAGAGCCTCCTAAATGTTACACAATGTAAATTCAGAGCAACATATTTTGTGTAAGTTGTTTTCTAAGGTTCTTACAAATATCATTAAAAACAGCAAGTTACTGAATTCAAAGTACAATTTAGACCATAATCCAACTATTGTGTGGAAATTACCGGTACTATTGATCTTTTAGGAGAAAAATATGGAGAAAATCAAAGAAGTGTTGTTTTCTTTATACAATTAGAGAAATGTTTCAACTGGCTTGTTTTTTACTTTAGTTCTTAGGCCCGATTTCACCAAATTCACGCTAACGATGGTTTAGTTAATCTTCGGTTAAAACAAACTGATGATTTAAACCACAGTTAAGGAAATCTGGTTTCACCAACAAAAACGCGTCAAAACTAACGCTGGTTTTATAAACGAGAGTTTAGAGTAATATCCAGGTGGCGGTGGCAGTGAACTGTCATAATACCTGGCTGTTATTGGAGCAAACATAACCTAGAAAATAAATCGGCGTTTGTGAGGTAATGAAAACAAAACTGGAGACAGCAAGATTACAAGTATAGAATAGATATAAATACTAGCAGAAAAATTACAGTTTAGGTTTAGTTATTGTCCTTAATGACGCCCGGTCGAACTAAATTAATCGTTTGACCGTAGGGTTAGGGTTCCTAACCTAAAAGGAAAAGGAAAAGGGAGCCTATTTTTTTGAACAAAGAAAAAAGGAATTTGATCATGTAGGTAGAAAAACACTTTTTTCGGTCGGGATAAAAGATTGGCTCATCGCATACCTAGAAATACGCCTTTACTAAAAACCTTGTTGGATAACTTATAGAAAAAGGATAAACGTTTTGATAATTCATATCTAAGTTTAGTGATATAATTAATTTTGTCTTAGTTAAAGCATTAACATTTTCTCTTATCCACACTAGTTCGGCGAACAACATAGGAAACTATTCATCATTATCACTTCAAAAGCTACTTCGTATCGTATGCTCTTCTAGCATTTGGCCTTTCCATATAAACTTAAAGCTTAAAGCCAGCTGATATTTACTTAACGAAAGATTAAAGAAGTTAACCGGTCAAAATTGGGCAGTTAATTATCTAACGACGGTTTAGTCTAAACTAGCTCTAAAGGCGAGTGGTGAAATCCGATTTCGTCAGTTAAGAGCTAACTGCAGTTAGAGCAAGGCTTAACGGCGGTTTAAGTTTTTGGTGAAATCGGGCCTTAATCTTGTTGTCTGTATATGTGTGTATTGTGTTCCAACTTCAACAACATGGGATTTTTGTCTGAACCAAGCTCTTTTGTATCATGAATTTTACGTAATGTAATAATCTGTCACAAACCTCCTTTAAAAAATGCAATTTAATGTTATGATGTACAGGGCTACCGACAGGAACCAGATGTTTTCCAAACGGATAGTATACACATCAGAGTTACTGCCGAAAGAGGGAAGAGTTAGATCTTCTTTTACCTTTAATATGGTGGTTATTGCATGTGTTTAGAAAGGTTTAAACTTTATAATTGGCTGGTTAGAATTTTTCATTGCTGCATAATCTTTTTCTTTACTTGAAAACCATTATCTCACAAATACGAATCAATCAATCAATTATATCAATTATTTAAAATGGGGACGCCACTATGTGCGTATTTTAACCCAAATACAAGTGAAGGATGAGTGGCGCCATCTTGTAGTCTTGTTAGTGACTAAGGCCGACATGTTCCTTAGACACATCTGTTAATAGCCCATAGAGCCAATGGCAACTTAGGGACCTACAGTGTAAAGTGGAATCCGAACCACATTTTTCCTTGTAATTAACGAATTGGTCTAAAAATCACGATAGTACTGTAGATAGTCGTAGTACTCACTAGTGCGGACGTTAATCTACACTAGGGAGTATTGCATCCATAGTGCATCCCTATAAATATCTACAATTCGTGACCTCCTAGAAGTAGCTGGATTACAAGATGACGCCACTGTCTCAGTCTGATACAAATGATATAAAGACAGGGGTTGGGGTTGTATAACCAATCCTTCGGAAAATTTGGTAAAACTATAAAAAAGTTGTATCTGTATCGAGAATCGATTTTTTAAGTATCGATCGGTTTTGGTATTGACACAACACTAGTTGAAACGATTAGGCAAGCTTTGATTTGTAAGTGTTGATATGCTCACACACTTTTTTAGAATAACTTCTTCATCAGCATTGTACTTGTTATTAAATTACCTGAAAAAAGCAAAACTATATACGTCTAATAACAGTTGTAATAATATATTTACTTATACTTATACTGTTGACTTACAAGACGGTAAATACATATAAAAGTTGGTAAGTGGTGATCGATTTCGATTGGACACTCCAATCATCATCAGACCCAACAGGGGAATGTCCACTCACCAACTTTTATATGTATTGAAATAAACCCTTAAATATGGTTTGTATTCTAATCTTATCTTAGTTTAAACAATAATAATTACGGACAGAGGTTTTAAAGTACAAGGTTTAAAGGTACATAAGTTAAATGGTTAAAATAGGGTTACAAAAATTGTTCAGGGGTGGGGATTCGTGCTGGCTGAATCAAAAGATTTCATTGAGATGCCTAATTTAAATTTTCAATAAGTACGGTAAGTTATAAATTGAATAATCTTTTGAAAACAATAAATTAAATAGGAAGGATTTTGATTTTAATTAATGGAGGTAAATTGGGTCCAAATGGATGCTTGAAGAGTCTAGTCTGAGTTAATAACTTAATAAAAATGGAATGTTCTCACCAATCTTCTGTAATAATAATTTTCTTCTTAGTATATAGGCTTAAATTCTTCTTTCTTCAGGAAATTTGGAAGTTTTGACAATACTTTCTTTTATAATTTCACAATTATTTTCACAATTAAGTTAATAGATTCTGTGTGTTCTTCTTGGATACTTAAACTGCACTGTCAGTCTCATTGTTGTACATCATTTCCAGTTATGGGGTTCACATAAATAAGAACATGGTTGAAATTTACTTGTAATCTTGACCCCAGATGCACTGTATTTTAAAAGGAGGAATTGTTTTGAATAATAATTTTGGATAAGCCAATGAATAAATTTTGATGATCAATTATATATATGTTGAGACAATATGGTTTTAATAATATTAACAATGAACATGAATAAATATTGAAAATATAACAAGATTGAGTTTGGAATTTAAATAAGGACTATATTTATAAATATTGAATTTTGAGTCATTACAGTATTTACCATCTTGTAAGTCAACAGTATAAGTGTAAATATATTATTACAAGTGTTATTACTTATTAGACGTATATAGTTTTGCTTTTTCAGACACTTTTTTAGGTCACAGGCTTGGCAGCAACGTTTCATAAACAAAGCTTTAAGTTTATTTGCAGCACGATTCAATGTCCGTAGTGTGTATGAGGTGTTGCTAGCCACCTTGTTGATGTCTACAGTGTAGGAGTAGCCAGGTCTGGTGAGCAGCCGTATTTCTCCGGGTCGCTGCAGAGACACCACATATAGGTGTTTCTCTAGAGGTGTTTCACGCAGACCCATGAAGTATACAAGTTGGCGCTCCTCGTCCACCCACAGGTTCCAGCCCAGGACCTCCCACTCTCCACTGGTCAGAGCTACTGCACTACCCAGTCTGTTGGTCACTAGGCTATCTGTCAACACAACATAAAATAGTGTAAATAATGTTATATTACAGTACAACAACAAAAGTCATGTAGGAATACTGTAGTTTATTGTAATAGTTCATTCTTGGAATAAATTATTTGAATCCACTAGTAAAATTACTCAATAATAGTTAGAAAACCTGTAACATAAATTAAAGTGTTCCTATACATTTTACTCAATTACTTATAGAAAATTCATTTTAAGTCAACAATTAATGAGTCGTCATTTAAACTTTAACTTAATGAGAGTAACACATTAGCCCACATACCCCCGCAACACATTCTAGAATTAGCCTAGCATATTTTTTAGAATCCACATAACTATATTATAAAATATCAGTTTCAAAATTAATTATGTTTATTATGGATACAACCTTTGACTATTGATACAACTTCAGTATCCAATAGTCAATGATACAACTCTTGCAAAGCTTTTCCTGAAAATAAAGGAAATTCAAATACCCCCTCCACAGCAAACCTGCTGACTAAGCGAATTTGAACTTGTCTGATTACATTTTTACTCAAATATTTCCGCAAATAAGACATATCTATTTCCAATTTAAATAACATTAGATTTAACAAGTGCTTAGGTTTGCTGCTACAAGGAAGGTAAAAAGTGTGTGAATGAGTCAGAAATTGTGTTACGTGCTTGCGTCCGGGATGTGCCTGTCATGGTGCTACAGCACGTGGACCCGGGATAGAGAGTCCATGTCCTCATAGTGCTCGTCACACCGACCGGCTTATCACTCCCCCCTCACACTTCCCCCAGCACCCACTATCAACCGCTGACTATCTCTCTCACTCCTTATCTCCGTACCCCAAGAAGCTAAAGGCGGCGCATATCAATGCTCAGTCATTGCATGCTCATATTGATGAGGTTCGTGAGATTTTTCGACATAGAGATTTTGACTTGATTGCGGTGTCTGAGTCCTGGCTAAAACCGAGTATCCCAACGGCCGAGGTGTCCCTTCCGGGTTATATTCTGCATCAAAATGACAGGACGAGAAAGCAGGGTGGAGGAGTTGCGGTGTATGTCAGGGAGGGACTAAAATGTTCATCTGTTAACTCATCGCCTTCGGAGTACTCGGCAAAGCCAGAATTCTTATTCATTAATATAAGTTTGTCTGGGGCAGATTCCTTGCTGCTGGGAGTGTGTTATCGCCCTCCTAGAGTTGGACAGCTGCTAGACTTTGAGAATGCACTCTTGCACCTAATGTTTAGGTATAGTCATGTCTTGATCATGGGTGACTTTAAAACAAATTTACTACAAACGTACCAGAACTATGAATACAGACATCTGACTACATTATTCGATTCATGCAACTTAAGTATACTCCAACTTGAACCTACGTATCATGCTGCCGAGTCTGACACACTCCTCGACCTAATAGTTGTTTCTGATCCACAAGAAATTTTACATCATGGGCAGCTTCCCGTTCCAGCAATATCCCAACATGACCTTATCTACTGTGTGTATTCGGTTAAAGCTCCTAAACCCAAGACAAAATTCGATAAGTATAGAGATTTCAAGAACATGAATGAGGCACAGTTTATGTTAGACGTACAGCAAATACCGTGGCACACCGTGCATCCCTTCATTCCTGTTAAAATTACTGTTCATATGTTAATGAAACTTTTGAGATTTTACCTATTAAATACCATAGTTACTCTCATCGCTTACCCATGAAAGTGGTTGTTGACAAGCTAATGGGAGAAAGTATGTGTCAGATCGCTGATACCGTTTATTTTGTTTTTATAGATCAGTGCCACAAATGGTAAAATTGATTTTTTCGTCTTTTTTTTGTAACTGCAATACTCAAGACTTTATTTTTATGAACAGGAAAAAATCCCGTCCCGAACTAAAAATTCAATCCCGTCCATCCCTACTGTGAACAATAGAAAATTGCAAACAACAATTCTTGGTTTTATCAAAGATAAAATAAAAATATCAATAAAACATATTTTAAGTGATAATTAATATGACTACAGACAGATTAGTTAAGTTTAATATGAATATGAAACCATAAACAGTTTTATGGCAAAAGGCAGTGTCCAGCGCAAATTGAATGTTCACAACAAAAATACTATATGAGTCATAAGACAAATTTAATAGCCATCATAAAATGATTATTGTCATGATAAAATGTGATGGGTTTGTCATTGCATCATTACCCTGGTAATAAATTATAAAAGTTGAAAACCAACATCTGAATCCAGATAAACTTGCACCCAACCAACTGCCATCACGGCAAAATTATTGAACAACAAACCATAAGAAACTGAGTTTTTACGTAAAATCTCAGTTCCCATTTTTGCTAAGAATTAGTAAAATCGAAAACTGTGCACAATGTAATATTACATGATATTATTTTTTCCATATGACAAAGTTTGTCTGGAATTTAAACTTATTGAGCTATAAAGTAATTTTTCAGGGTGTATACCATTGTTTAATGTGAAATTCCAGGTTTTTTCCTGGTTTTTCAAAGTTTTTCCAGTTTCCCACATAAATGTTTCCCACGTGAACATTATATTAATTCCCGCGTAAACATTTAGCTACACTTAACGGTATGTAGAGATGATTGTCGTCTTCCACGGCCACGGAAAAGTCATCGTCATCGTCCACAGTCGTGGCAAAATCATGAATATTTCCCACGGCTGTGTGGACGTCATTTTCGTCTCCTGCTGTCACAGAAACGTCATCATCGTCTTTCGCGGTCACGGAAATGTGATCGTCGTCTTCTGTGATAGCTGCAAAATCACAAAAGTCTTCTCTGGCTGTGTAGACATCATCATAGACTCCCACTGTCACGAAAAAGTCATTGTCTTTGTCCACGATTGCGACAAAAGCATGAAAATTTCCCGAGGCCCCGTGTAGTCCAGGAGCTGAGGGGGTTTGAGCATGCATGAAAGTAGTACGCAATGTTATTGCTGATTATTGTAATATGGACTGTGGTGATCAAAATTACGTATGTCGCCTATTTCAAAAGTGGTCGATAAGGTGGGGGGGAGGGGGCAAACATGGCGGTTTGCGCTATGCGTTAAAACGCTGATAGTTCGAAAACGGTAAAAGATATAACATCGGTTAAAACGTCGTTGGAATTCTAAAAATGTGGACAACAATAATGGTTATTGGGTCCGAGGTCGTATCTCTATAAATAAACAAGTTGTTGTATAAAATATGTAAAAATGGACTTTTCGTGTAGTTTTTCGGTTAGAAAGTAGAATTAATTTGTGAGTGTCGCAAAGAAGTAATATCAAATATCTTTGCTGATAGTTGTAAAATGGACCGTGGTGATAAAAAATACGCATGTCGCCTACTTTTCAGGTGGTCGAGAACTTGGGGGGAGGGGGGCAAAGATGGCGGAACGCGCTATGCATCGAGACGACTGTAGCTCGAAGACGGTACGAGATAGGACATCGGTTAAAACGTAGTTTTAATCCAAAAAATATTACCAATAGAAAAGTTTATTGGGTAAAAAGTTGTATCTTAACTAATAAAAAAGTTATAACAATAATAAGTTTAACAAAATCTACATCGTACAGCTATTTTTTTTGAAAATCGTATGGATTATTGATAAATAATAGTGTAATTCCTTAATTACTCGGCTATATATTAACTAGATGCATTTTCTTATAAGAAAAAAATATATTATTACGAATACATATGGTTTAAAATGTAAAACACGGCCTCCAAACGCCTTGGGGTTCGTCCGATAGGTTGCGTCATAATTGCTGCGCAGTGCTGCTGATATCAGCACAACTGTTAATAAGAACTGAATAACTGGCATAACTGAATAAGAATCTGTTACATAATCATAAATTATAATAACCTACAACTTTATAATAATTAAAATTGGATTTGTAGTGGTAGTCTTTATTATGCATTTGATTGCGGCGAAACCCCAAGTATTATATGTAGTTTGGAGGCCGTGTTTTACATTTTAAACCAAATGTATTCGTAATAATATTTTTTTTATAAGAAAATGCATCTAGTTAATATATAGCCGAGTAATTAAGGAATTACACTATTATTTATCAATAATCCATACGATTTTCAAAAAAATAGCTGTACGATGTAGATTTTGTTAAACTTATTATTGTTATAACTTTTTTATTAGTTAAGATACAACTTTTTACCCAATGACCTTTTCTATTGGTAATACTTTTTGGATTAAAACTACGTTTTAACCGATGTCCTATCTCGTACCGTTTTCGAGCTACAGTCGTCTCGATGCATAGCGCGTTCCGCCATCTTTGCCCCCCTCCCCCCAAGTTCTCGACCACCTGAAAAGTAGGCGACATGCGTATTTTTTATCACCACAGTCCATATTACAACTATCAGCAAAGATATTTGATATTACTTCTTTGCGACACTCACAAATTAATTCTACTTTCGGTTAAAAAACTACACGAAAAGTCCATTTTTACATATTTTATACAATAACTTGTTTATTTATAGAGATACGACCTCGGACCCAATAACCATTATTGTTGTCCACATTTTCGAACTATCAGCGTTTTAACGCATAGCGCAAACCGCCATGTTTGCCCCCTCCCCCCATCTTATCGACCACTTTTGAAATAGGCGACATACGTAATTTTGATCACCACAGTCCATATTACAATAATCAGCAATAACATTGCGTACTACTTTCATGCATGCTCAAACCCCCTCAGCTCCTGGACTAGTGGACGTCATCGCCGTCTCCCACAGTCACGGAAATGTCGTCATAGTTGTCCGCAAACGGGACAAATACGTGAATTATGCTATCATGCGAACTACGCTACTAAAAAGTTTACATATTATTCGCTTTACTTTGTAGACAAGTTTTGAACCTATTAAAATGTGTGATTTGCGCAGAGTTCTCCTCATTAATAATATTATTGTTATTCTAATTACTTTCTGCGTTGTGAAGTGCATCTTCTACACCATTGTGGTAAGTTCCAATGTTGGTTGTGATGAGATACAAATGTCTGTATCCAGTCTCTTCACTTGCCCAAATGAAGGTTAGCTTGCCACAGTCTGATATGGGGAACATGTACAGAAGATCATGGACCTGAAATCATCACAGCAGTCCACATTAAAAATAAAACTAATTACATAACTAAAGGATGTAACATAGATCACGAGGGCCAAGTTTTTTTAAGATTTGTTGTGAGGATAGCAGGCTTAAATGAATGGGAAAGAGTCCAGACTGGCACAGGAGACTCAAAAAAACTTTACACTATGTACTATGGGTCTGCATTGCACCGAAAAAAATCGGTATGGTACGGTTATGGCCTAGTTACCGCTATTTTTTTACAGCTTATAAATAACTAAATAAATAACTTTCAATTCACTATTGTAGTTAAAAGGTAGTCTCAAGTCAAACCATGAAACTAATGAGACAAGACAGATTGCACAATAGATTTACGTAGTTGTCACACAATGTGAGCAGACGTTAGCAGCCTTCGAGGTAAGCAAGAGTTGTTTGAATGGGTTATCAAAGGAATATTAAATATAAATACAGTATTATTATGTATGTTGATTCATTATTCCTCTGTTCCCTTTTTGTTATTTTGGTTTATATGTGAATTAAATTATCGTCAATCATTTAAAAAAATAACCGATAAATCTATTCTATATATAATTCAGTTTTAAAAATCTTTGTACAACTAAATCTAGAGTTCTACTGGACCGATTTTATTAATTAATGGGTCGTTGGAAAGCTTTAGTCGTGTAGATTTGCAAATCAAAACCAAAAGACTTTACAACAGTTACTGTCGATCAAGTTGCTACCAACATTCTTTTAAATGGCAAAACCTATGGAAGGAAATACCGGGAGCCTGTTGTGCATGATGTGGCCAGTGAGAATCCCTTCCTGGTGGAACCATTCACCAGGTCCGAGCTAACTGTAGTCATTACCAGCTTAAAGACTAATAGAGCTCCAGGTATTGACGAGATCAGAGTCAAACAACTAAAGAACCTAAAGGTAAAAATGGTTGTTGAGCCTCATGAACATGTGCGTAAGCCAAATGCTATTGGGAAAAAATCCAAAAGCATGGAAAAGAAGCCTGTGTGGCTGCACTACTCAAACCCGGGAAAGATCCAAATGATCCTAAGAGCTTTTTGACCTGTTTATCTCTTATGCTACACATATAAAATCTTAGAACGTCTGATACTCAATCGAATCGGTGATTTTTTAGAATAAAAGATCTTTTTTTCTGGAACACAAGATCATTCCACAACAGGCAGGCTTTTGATCAGGCAAGTCTTGTTGTGGCCAAGTTTTTAACCTTACATTGAGGATGGGTTTGAGAGAAAACAGATCACGGGTGTTGCTTTTGTAGATTTAACAGCCCCCTACGATACCGTAAACCATCGAAGACTTTTGGGAAAAGTGTACAGCATTATCGAAGACTATCAGCTGACTTCGATGATAGGCACTTTTCTTCATAACAGGCAGTTTTTTGTGTCCCTTCAAGGCAAGAAAAGTAGATGGAGGAATCAAAGAAATGGATTGCTTTACGGCAATAAAGCGTCTTAGTCCCATCTCTTTACAACATATATACTAACGACCAACCGTTGCCAAACTCTACACGTCAGTATATATATATACCGATGATACGGCGGTGGCGGCACAAGGTAGGAGTTTTGAAGAGGTGGAACAGAAACTGACTACGACTCTAAATGAACTTTACTAGTACTATGACGCAAATGACCTCAAGCCGAACACTGCTAAGACCCGAGTTTGTCCCTTTCACCTAAACAATAGAGAAGCAGGCCGTGAGTTGAATGTGACGTGGCGGGGAAACCGTCTTGAGCATTGTCCTACACCAAAATATCTTGGTGTCATACTGGACCGCACACTGACATTTAAAGCGCACTGTGTAGCGACAAGGGGTAAAGTCTCAGCGAGGAATAATATCATCAGGAAGCTCACCAGCAGATGCTGGGGTGCTAACCCTAATGTCCTCAGAACCTCAGCTTTAGCGTTCAGTGTGTCAGCTGCGGAGTACGCTGCACCAGTATGGAATGCATCCTCACATGCAAATAAGGTTGACATTGTAGTCAATGACATGGATTGGATTGTAACTGGGCGTTTGAAACCAACCCCAGTACATAAACTCTATCCTATCATAGGGATCGCCCCTCCATCAATCCACGTGATGTCGCTGCCGACGTAGAAAGGACTAAGCAAGAGACGGACCCTCAACACCCATTACACGGACACCAACCTGTAGAGCGACGGCTTCGGTCCAGAAAGAGCTTTCTATCATGGACACGAGTTCTGGATGGATCACTCTCAAGAAATCGGGTGGCAAGGTGGGAGACCACGTTGACTAACCCTCCCATACCAGCCAGGGAGGAACTGGCTCCTGGTGGAGACTTAAATTACACGGTGTGGAAGAGCCTAATTTAAATCAGGGTCGAGGTACCAAAATGCAAGACCTCGTATATGCAGAAATGGGGTCTCTTACCAAACGAAGAAAACATCTTGTGTGCGTGTGGTGCTGTTCATGATCCTGGCCATCTGCTGATCTGTCCACGCCTAGACCAGTCTTGCACATTATATGATCTTTTACAAGCGAATGACAAAGCCATATCGGTAGCTAATTTTTTAAAAAGCGAAGTCTGATTTCCGGACACGTAGTTACTTTAAAGATCTTGTCCCGTCCTGTCCCAAACAAAAAGTACAATTCTGTCCATCCCTAACAAAAAAAAAAATACAAAAATATTGTTCAGAGGGGTTACCCAAAAGACCAAGAACTTAAAAAAACATCTATAATATTAAAATGTGACAGGGTTTTTTTATTTCACGATTCTGAATCAACCACTTGACGGATTTTCATGATTTTTGTGTTGAAAGAAAGATAATTTTGAGAACTAGGGAATGTCGAAGCCATAATTTTAGTTTATGGTTTCAGTTTTTTAGAAATTAAGTTTTAATTTTTAAAAAGTCTAGCAGCCGACGCTAGCAATTTAAAGTATTTTCAATGCTGGTTTAACTAACAGCTGGTTATAACTGTCATTGAAATGTTTATGTTCCAAGTTGTTTGTTTACAAAAATATTGTTCGTTGGTGTTTGTACTATTTCACTTTAAAATATAGTTTTTTCCATACCATGAAGGATCTGCGTTATCAGGAAATATGTTATTTTGAACTATACATCTCAAACACTTGCGTTTAATCAAGTTTTGTCGTAAATGCAAAATGTGTAAGTATTTAGTTCATGCCATGGAAATTTCAACTCATATTTGGGAAATATTTTTTCTGCGTTTAATCGTTTAAAGCGTTTGTTTGAATGTGAGTATGTCGGCATACAAAACTTTGGTTAGTAATCGGTGTAGTAGGTCTCTATAAAACTGTCCAATAAACTGCAGGGTGCAGTAGAAACCAAAGTCAACTCATACTATACCATAACTATCCCCGTTGTACTGTATATGATTCAGAAACTTGGGTACTGACTAAAGAACCGAAAAACCTTAATGCTGGGTTAGGGTAGAGAGTATAGAAAATATACAGACCAGCTCAAGATAACGGAGGTCGAGATAAAAAAAAGAACAGAGAGCTAAGAGAAATGTGTTAACACCCAAATATAGGGGTGCTTTCCAGAAGTAAAAGGCTTGGATGGGCAGGCTATGCGCAGAGGAGACGAGATACATAAACTTTTAAAAGTATATTCCAAGGAGTACCACAAGATAGACGGGAAATACTAAGTTATGAAATACATCCTCAGACTGGGATCTAAATTAGAAGAGGCAGGGGATAGTAGAGCCTGCAATAAATTAATGAGCTCAAAATTATTATCCCACACAACAAAATTACGTCTGTATAAAACAATAATCCGACCAGTAATTTTATATGGCTCAGAGACTTGGATCCTGAACAAAAAAGAAGAAAGAAAAATAATAGTTTTTGAAAATAAAGTATTGAGGAAAATTTTTGGTCCATTGCTAGAAAATGGAGAGTGGAGGAAGAGGCACAACCAGGAAGTAAGAGAAATGTACAAAAATTCAGACATCATCGGAGAAATAAGAAGTAGGAGACTAAAATGGGCAGGACACATACTAAGAAGAGAAGAAGAGTCAAACCTGAAGAACATTCTGAGGGGAACACTAGAGGGACGAAGACCCAGGGGACGACCAAAGACTAAATGGTGGAACCAGGTGCAACAAGACATGAGGCGGCTGGGAATTGGAGGATGCTGAAGAAAGAGACGGATGGAGGCGCTGTGTTGCTGAGGCCAAGTACCGACTGGGGTACAAATGGCCAGGGCAGTAAGTAAGTAAGGGGATAGGAGAGAATGGGAGGCCAGAATCCTCATAAGGTTTCAGTGGTCACGGAGGTAAGATAAGGTATGGCAAGTACATTAAGTAGTACAGTAGAGTCCCCCAAACTCGGCACTCGATAACCCGGCAGTCTGGATAACTCGGCCATCACCTGGCTCAGAAAATTAGTGATTTTTTGAGTCCGAGTTAAACATGGACACAAGCCAGCTCAAGTCAAATCATTCTCAGCTCGTACAAATTATTTGTTTTACTATATCTGATGACTTAATACTAACTTGTAATATAAATATAAATTAAAGAAGTAGTTAATAAGATTAAAAATTGTATTGTTCGTGTTTTTAACCCTAGTTCCCGATAACCCGGCATTTCACAAACTCGGCACCCATCCAGTCCACATTACGCCGAGTTTGCGGGACTCTAATGCAATTGGAGGTGTCATGTAGCTACTCTACTCAAAACCAGTGTGATTTGGTCGCCAATTTCTCTTCAAGATTTTCAAATCGACACAAATGCTGTATTATGGTAACATTTTCGGATTTAAAATGCATATCGCTATATTTTAGGTCCATATTCGGATCGAAGAACCAGTTGGTCACGGGACATTTGTTTATAAGGTGATCTTCCCCATGAAAACTGCCAGAATTTGTCTCTATAATAATAGATGTTCATAAACTAGATGTTCTGAAGTATTCCATTTTTATTGACAACTCCATTCCCATACATAGGACAGGCCACCAGCTCGTATGTATTTACAAATTATTTACACTTTAACCCCATCCCCTTTAAAGTAGTCTCCATTAAAAGCTACGCTCTTGTTCAAACTGGTTTTTCACTGTTCAAAACAATTTTTTAAGTAATCTTTTGAGATGGCGGCCAGGTTTTCTGTTGTTTTTTCTTGACATCTTCAATGGTGTAAAACTGTTGTCTTTTTATACCTCTTTTCATACGTAGAAACTGAAAAAAGTCATACAGAGCCAGGTCAGGTGAATAAGGAACGTCGGGTAGCACAACCCTCTCGTTCTAGCCAAAAAACGAGCGAACGTCAAAGGCTATGTTCAGGTGCATTGTCATGGTGGAAGAACCAGTCTCGTGTCTGTCACAGATCAGGTCTTTTTTGTCAAACACTGTTGCGTAATATTCGTAAAACTTCCAAGTAGAAGGTCTTATTCACGGTCTGACTGGGGGGAACAAACGCTGAGTGAACAATGCCTTTGGCATCAAACCAACAAATCAGCTTGTTTTGATGTTTGATTTGACTTAAGGATTTTAAGGATTTTTTTGGACGGGGTCCAATGTCTTCCATTGGCTTGACTGTTGCTTTGTTTCTGGGTCCTAGACCCATGACTCATCACTAGTAACTAATTATCTTTGACAGAAAATTTGGGTCTATAAAAAGCATCTGTTTCAAAGCTGGACATGTTTCAACTAGCTATTCTTTTTTATTGTCAACTAGAACCCGAGGAACAAATTTAAACCAACCTTTTTCATTTCTAAATGTTATGTTAAAATTCGCTGAACAGAGCTCATAGATAATTCACTTATTTCTTCAGATCAATTGTCCGTCGACAGTCTTCAAGCAGCAGATCACAAGTTTTTTTTCCACATTGTTGTCATTTCAGGCAACCTGATGGATCTCCAGGAAAAGATTTGTCTTCATTGCTTGTTTCGCCATTAATGAAACAAGTAAACCACCAAGTAATACACTTGAGGTTTTCCCATAGCGTCATCTTTGTAAACTGTTTTCAACATTAAAGCGGTTTCAGCAGCATTTTTATCAAGTATAGCTACACAGTTGTTCACTTTTACTTGCCATCGCAAAGAAAACAATACCCCCGCCGCAGCAAACCTGCAGACTAAGCGAATTTCCATTTACTTGGCTGGAATTCCACTAAATTATTCCCTTAAATTTGTCAGATTTCTTTCCTATATAAATATCATTAATTTTATTTTAACGAGTTCTTGGGTTTGCTGCTACAGAGAAGATAATAACCGCGCCGAAGCAAACCTGCAGACTAAGCAAATTTCCATTTGCCTGATTGGTATTTGGCGGACAATAAAATATCTCCTTAAAAAAATATCACATTAATTTCCTATCTAAATAGCATTAGTTTAACAAGTACTTAGGTTTGCTGCAACATGGAGGGTAATAACGTGTTTTGCAAAATGTTAATATTTTAGTATAAAATAAATTCATTTTCCAAATTTCATTTAAATATGTCCATAGACAAGCAAGCTATAACAGTTTATTTATTCTCCGTAAGGATAACATAATAATTTTAAATTTACACTTTTTTGGAATTTTCTCTGTAACCGTTAGGCATACATCAACGCTTCAATATACTAAATTATTTGTTTTTATGAGCTCTACAAAATGGTTCTAAAACAAATTGCATAATTTTATGTTTTTAGGGCCAAAAATGGGAAAAAATATTTTTACTCCATAACACCCCCATTCCCATAGTCCGATCATGCAGGTTTGCGAACTTGTTCAAATAAATGTAGGTTTACACGTTTATACAAAATTTAATCAAAATCATACCGTTTTTGCTCGAAGTATCATGCTACCAGACACATATATAAATATATTTTATATATATTAAATTATAGTACAGTAAACCTTCGAAAACACATCTAGCGGCTGAAACGTGTAATCTCCACCCATGATAATGCTATTCCAATTTTTTTTTTGTACCCCTTTGTAAAAAAGCATGAGTGGTGGTGACAACTTACGTTTATCCAGACATCTGTTGTCTGCACAGAGATGACTTGGGCAGGAGGACAGTTGGCACTGAGGTGGTTCTCTGTGTGGTACATGTTAGGTGGAGGCTCAACAAAGTTGTCCAAAGACAGCAACACCAGCTCCAGCCTCTGCTGCCGGCGATCCAGCAGTTGCACCCAGATACTACCAACATCATACATCATTTCATGTCATCTTTGGGTCTACATTTTTTTATATAGGCCCACAGGATTAGTACAAGTAATGGAATGCATAAGATAAAACAACTATATTCGTTTACTATTCCTTTCAATAGGCTCATGCAATGGATTTTAAAATCTTAATATTCAAGATAAGGTTTTGTACTTTTGTGGTTTTTAGTGAATTTCCCTATAGGGAAGTAGCTATTACCGTAGGTGGCACGGTAAGACCTGGGCCAGGGACCGATTTACTTTTTCATTTTGATGTCCCCAGAGACCAAAAACACGTTAAAATTGTTATATATATGTGTGTGTGTTCGTAAACGCGATAACTTGAGTAATTTTTGTCCGATTTTGATAAAATTTGGTTTAGAGGTTCAAGGCGGGTTAGATTTGAATGAGTTTGCAAACCAGCATGAACGGACAATGGGAACAGGGTTTTACATTTATGGGGTAAAAATTGGTTGTTCTCATTTTTGACCCTCAAAAAATAAAATTTCTCAATTTCTCTTTAAATGTTCTTAAAGAGGTTAAAAAACCAAAGAATTTAGTATATCAAAGTGTTTTTGTACGGTTATTGGTAAAAGAGAAAATTCATAAAATTGTAAATTTAAAACTCCCATGTTATTCTTATGGAGAATATTGTAAAATGTTGTACAGTAGACTCCCGATTATCCGAGGTAATTGGGACCAGGACCACCTCGGATACGGGAAAACTCGGATAGTACAGAGGCTATGTACGGTTATGGTAAAAATGACGTAAAACCCCGTGAAAGTTTACTAAACTGGTTTATTAGAAGAAATAACATATTTTAGACGAAATATAATGCCTGTAAGCAAGCAGGAACACATATTATTTCTTAAAAAAGTCTTTGATCGTCTTCTGAGCTAACCTCTTCCCTCGCTTCGATGATGCAATGTTGTGCCAACGCTGTAGAGTAAGAATGTCGTGTGGGGTACACTATTCTTGCTGCTCTATGAATCCAAGAGCAGTGTCGATCGCCTTCAGCCCTTCGGTGTATGATATTTTGGGAGTTATCTCGTCCAAATCGTCATCGTCTCCGTGGTCCTTATCACCGGTTACCATGTCAATTATTTCCATGTCGGTAATTAACATCTGATCATCTTGATTGCACCAATCGTGAATATCTTCCCTGTCGATTTGATTTTCAACGGGTAACTCATTGGCTATGGCTAGTTCAAATAGTTCACTCACGTTCTCGGGTTCTGGCGCTTTTTTTGGTGGTCCATCTATGCCAAATAAATTCTCCCATGACTTTTGAATGGTGGCAGTTTTAACCTCATCCCACGCTGAGGCTATCCAGTAGGACACATCTTTCCATTGTGACTTTTTTTAAGGCGTCCTTAACAGTCATTCCTTTGTCTAACTTTGTAATCAACATCTGGAGAAGCCTTCGCCGGTAGATCCTCTTCATCGCTTCTAGAACCCCTTGGTCTAGCGGTTGTATGAGCAAGGTAACATTAGGGAGTAGAAAGATTGCCCTAATATCACCACTGCACAGTTCTTGGGCATCAGGGTGAAATGGCACATTGTCCAATAGTAGAAGGGCTTTCCTGGAAAGCTTTTTTTTCAAAAATGCTCCAGTGACAGGCACAAATTTGTTAAAAAACCACTCACTAAATATTGGGTTGTCCATTCACGCACTCCTTTGGTTGCAATATTTTGTTGGCAGGCAGTCAACTTTTATATTTTTAAAAGCTCAACCAGAAAAAACAGTAAAATATCAAGACTGTAAAATGACAGGTGACTGTAAAATGTGAGGTTCATTCACTTTTTCATAATCGCTAGCTAGATTATGTCTTGGTTTTTTCACCTTTCCAATAAGCAGCGGTCTTAACTTCAATGAGCCAGAAGCAATAGCTGTAGCCAGTATCGTAACCCTCTCCTTGTTTTTTTTTTTTTTTTTTTTTATCCAGGAGCAGTCCTCTTAGATTTTGCTGCCAAGGTCTTTGAAGGCAGCATTCAAAAATTAAGGCCCGTTTCATCCGAATTAAAAATTTGATCTGAAGTATTCCTTCCTCCAACACAATTTCTTCAATTTTCTTTTGGAATTCTGCGATTTCAGATGTGTCTGCTGATAACTTCTCCCCACTAATGTTAAGCTGCCTAATTCATACCTCTTCTTCCATAGGTCCAGCCATCCTTCACTCGCCGTAAATGTTTCCTCTCTGTCTTTAAAGTTTTAATGGTATTCAATTGCCTTACCCTGTAGCATTGGCCCACTCACAGGACTGCCCATCTCTTGAAGGTGGGAAAACCACAAAAAAAGGGCCTCAGACGTCTTCTCATAGTTACGCTTCTTTAAAGTCTTTTGACTAGGAACACCACCTCCACTCACACTTTTGTAGGGGTGTGCGATGCATTGAAATTTCAATTTGATTCGATGCATCGAATCGTGATTTGATTCAGCATGCATCAAAATCCCGATGCATCGATTTGGCCTCGATGCATCGATTACGTCCCGATGCAACGATTACGTCCCGATGCAACGATTACGTCCCGATGCATATTTTAAACTAATTTAGGCCTCCAAAATGTGTTTTAGATAGGGATGTGTCGATTATCGATACCAACGATACTCGGACATTGCCGATACTAAGAATATCGGTGTCAAGAATCGATTGCCAAACGTCGATTTCGCCCGATTCCGCCGATACCGACACCCGACAGGGATGGATAGATATTTTATTTTATTTTAACATTTATTTATTTGATAGCTATTAGACTTGTAATCATGCTAACAACTTTAGAAGCCAACTTAGAACACTATTTAGTTCAAAACAGCTAAAGTGCTCTTGTTTAGCTTCAGCTGTTCTCTCTGCAGGCAGATGATATTGCACAACCCAATACAATCTACATTTCAAGATTTTAGACAGTCAGAATTCAGTCTCAGACAACCGGCGCACGAGTGTCCTGCCAACACGAAATTATACTAAAAAATGTTATAAAAAAAAAAAATCAAAAATGTATCAATAAGTCAGACCTTTAAATGTATCTATATATTAATATGCAAGCAGTTTTCTTTTCACAGTCATAACTCAATAACGGCTTGATGGATTTTAAAGTTTGAGGTGTCAAATTAAAGGTATTTTCACGTAGATGCGCAAATACGTCTCAGAATATTTAAAAAGGGCACCACTTAAGTACACTTAGGGGCTAAAGTTTGGAAGGCGGCCCTATCTGTTGACATTTGATCAAAATCATTTCCCTTTGTTTACAAATAACATATGGACGTAGTTTGAAATAGTTTTTAAGGTTAACCACAGACTGCAGGACTTAAAAATTCCAGAGCAAAGCTGGAATTTATAGTTTGTTTCAATCTTTTAACTAAGTCTGGTTCATAATGAAGAGTCACTAGACAACAAAGTGTTTAAGAATAAATATTTAATTCTTTTTGTCTATGGTTAAATAGATTTACCTTACATCGTATTTTACTGATTATCATGTAGTTACAGTTCGATGTGATGAAGTGAATGTTTAAAAGTGATTATTCACAGGGCAGTTATCCGTTACATTACCATATTATCATGAAATTTACAATGTGTATCAAAATGCCAATTCCTTTATAGTGTTTTATGTTGTTTGGTTAACTTTCTTATTTCATTTCAATTTAAAATCAAATGCCGCCAGTACGACGAAGAACTGTGAGTGGCTGGAGGGAACGCGAACATGACCGCTTGCATCGACCTCTCAATTGAACATTTGATGGGTACATAGTGGTAGTACCACCGTTGTGATAGTCCAATCTCGGACAAATGAACGTTAAATGTTTACATTGTAGTGGCTTACATATTTTTAAGCAAGAAAAGACTGGCCGAGACACTTAAGTTTGTACTCTTTGTTGCCATAAATGACAGGTTTGTTTACCTCATTTGTGCAATTCACCACAATAAACTTTGGGTTCTTATTGGAAACTCCCAATCTGAAAATAGGACTGTGAGACTTATATCCAGAAAGTATTTGGATAAAGTTCGTCAATTCAGTTCTGCCTTTACCATGGTCAGCTCCAAAGCTCATTAAGATGAGAAAGTTCCACAGGGGATCTACAATTTTAAGATCCGTGACACGTTTTACCACCGAGTGGGTCCTGTAATTCCTCAAGAAGGTGATGATCCTGAATACGCACAGATATTTAGGTAAGTACGACAATGTCACTAGAACCCAAAGGAGAACTAAGCACAATTAAAACAAAAAATGCAATGAAAAAATATGCGGGAAATAGGGTCACAATGCCAACCCATTTACAAATCTTTGAAGACTGTGGCAGACATTATGTAGGGACGAGAGCTCCGAGGAGTCAAGTGAGATTCTTATGTACATAATACGAGACAGAAGAAGTGTCTTCCCTCGCTACAATGGTGCTACCTGTGTAGATTTCGCAGCAATTTTTAAAGCTGAAAACAAAGCACCACCTGGCCAAATAAATCGTATATTTTTTTCCAATACTAATAATGTTAAATGTGGGAAAATAAAACTCTTCAGAACTTTCTACAACTTAGTTATATTTTACACTTTAAAAAAAACAGGACAACAAAACGAACCTTCTCTAAACATTAATTCAACTCAACACCCATTAGTCACCATGACAACCGAAATATCCAAAATCGTAAACATAAAGGACACTAGTCAGCTGATGCTAGTTCACAGCTACACGCCCCCGTGGTGTCAACACCACCACACGCCCTCGAGGTGCCAACACAACTTACACTTTCATTTTTACTTTCAACTACTTTTCGCACATCTGCTATGTGATGAGGCCTGCCATTTACTTCAACACTTCTGGGTGAAAACTGTCCAGTAACCACTCCTTCCTTCCATCTCGAAGTACAGGATGGGTTTGGCGGCTTGACATACACACGTTCACCTACTGTAAAATGTGACCCTTCATACACTTCACCTTTTACAGGTTCACCTTTACATCGCCATTGGTACAAAAAAATCTGGGAACTCGGCGATGAATCGCC